TGGATTTGCACCCCCTGTCATCAACTTTGCAATGCTCCCAGTCAAGTCCAGATTAGAAGCCACTTATGGCTGAACACTAGGAGTGCTGCAAAACAGATAAACAAATATCAACATTATACTAATCCTTTTATTCTGCCACAAAATGCACACAAATATTCTAGAAAATAAGCCAAAAACTAGAAGTTTAAAAGGCTTCATTGCATTATTTTTGATTCTCTATGGTTGAGGCAAGGCGAGGTAGAGAATCCCTGGAATACCCCAACTTTCACAACCCTCCCCTAAAGCCTTGTGTTGTAATGATCCTACTTGGGGTGAACATGCTCCTTCCTGAACTAGACACCACTGCTCAACTACCTGGAGATAGAGGGGCCACTCCACTTCCCATACTTTCAAGAATTGTGAAACCAAGCTCTCTCTCGCGTTCAGGATATTCCAACAAAAGGGTATGCAGTGCAATGCAACTAGATTGCTGGGCTGGCCCTACCAAGATGCTTAAGTCTACTTTGCTGTAATTTCAGTTCTTAAATCAGTGGCTTATACTCAGTTTAATACTATGTACAGACCTATAATACAGCAACTGAACCAGAACAGCTTCTTGAGAGGCATTAAAACCTCATGTAAATATATATTTAGCTTATGTACTAAGAATACTTCACTATAAAAATTACTGAAAAGCTGGTGTATTTGCCATATATCAAACTAAATATGTAATGTTTTCAAAACACCTCAAGAATACAGAAAATTATTACACATTTATAAGGTAAAGTATAGCATCTGAGCTGCAAATTGCAAAATTCAATGAAAACATGATTTCTTAAAATAGGGAGCAAATACTGTGCCATCTTCCCCAGTAAACAGTGAGACTTCCCTTTCAGTCAGCCAGGGTTTATCAACTAAGACAGTGGTTCTCAAACTAAGGCCGCCGCTTGCTCAGGGAAAGCCCCTGGCGGGCCAGGCCGGTTTGTTTACCTGCCGCGTCCACAGGTTCGGCTGATGGCGGCTCCCACTGGCTGCACTTCGCCGCTCCAGGCCAACAGGGGCTGCAGGAAGGGCGGCCAGCATGTCCCTCGACCCGCACTGCTTCCTGCAGCCCGCATTGGCCTGGAGTGGACAGTGGGAGCCGCGATCGGCCGAACCTGTGGACAAACCAGCTGGTAAACAAACCAACCCGGCCCACCAGGGGCTTTCCCTGAACAAGCGGCAGCCCTAGTTTGAGAACCACTGAACTAAGATACATGGAAAAGCCACACAAAATTTCAAAACATGACTTAGAAGCACCAAGCTTCTATGGCTGTCTACAATCCAGAGACTCTGGTGGCACAGCTATGTTGACACAGCTGACTTTTTCTGTCAATGTAGGAATACCACCTCCCCCAATGACATGAGCTGTGTGTCAAGAAAAGCATTTTTCTCTTGGCATAGCTGCATCTACACTGACAGTTTTGCTGGCATAGCTATGTCGGTTACGGCTGTGGTTTTTTCACATCCCTGACCGACATAGATATGCTGATACAAGTTTTAAGCATGAACAAAGCCTAGCTCTTATCTGCCCCCTCACTGGTGTGAAAAGGGTCACATGTTCCCCTGGCTGAGGCTGGTCATAACATTCCATTATAAGCCATGCTAGATATTAGATGTTCTTCATTTTTAAATAGCGACAAAGAGTCCTGTGGCACCTTATAGACTAACAGACGTATTGGAGCCTAAGCTTTCGTGGGTGAATACCCACTTTGTTATTAAAATGCATTAGCGGTAATGAAATAGGTAACATTCTAACCATAGTATCACTGCTTGAAGCTGGCAGCACAACAGGCTAAGACCATGAAGCTAGCACCGTGGTATATTGTGATTATTTTTACTTCCTTACTTTAAACATTGAGTTCCACACCCAGTTAAACATCCCTAAAAGTATTGTCTTATTTATGGATTTCGTTATGTTCCAAACTACAGCACTAGAAATCCAGGCAGTGCTATCTTATTAGATCTTACTTTGAGTCCACATGAACCTTCTCTTAGGTCAAGTCAGAGCTTCCTCCTGCACAGTAACTAATAGATTACAGTTTTCTCATGCAGAATTACTGAATAAAACAAAAATTAAACCACTGCAGGTTTCATGAACTCTCAAATGAAAAAAATTAGGTCTGTGAGCAAGTTTTCTATAAGAATAAGCACGTGCCATAATTTGTCTTTAAGCCAACCTGTTTGAGTAGGCAAAATGTTAGAAAAACTTTCAAACTGTAAACAACCCAAAATTTTTTAAAGTTTGAGTAATCTCAAACTTTCCTAAAATAGCCTTCCCTAGCATAATACAACATTTGCAAAACTTTCTAACGACAGTTAAATGGACATTAATGGTCAAAGTTGGGCACAAACAATGTCTTAATCTTAGTTATAGAGCTGCTACTGTGGTTACCCACTTACCCTGGCAGACAATGCAGATAATGTTGTATACAGTCAGACCTAGTTTTGTTTTGGTTTAGCTTCAGGCCTTCCAATCTTTGTAGATGTCTCAAACGTATGGAAGAAAGTCTGTTCATGAATACCAGTCAGTTCTTAAAATGTAGTGCATTAGCCCTGATTCTGCAAGCTGATCTGTTTATGCAGATCCTTCCATTTGTAGAGTTCCACTGAAGTCAGATCAACTTGCAAGATCAGCGCCTTAGTCATTAGTTTATCTCAAAGTATCCAAAGTAGTAAGACTAAAAGATTTTTTAATATACTACACATTAAATCTAAATTATGATATGCAGCAAGGTCCTGGTATTGTGGCATGGTGCAGCACAGTAAATAACCCCTTCCACATCAGCAACCTGATGCCATAAACCCCACTTCAGACTAACTTAGCACATTCTATAAACCCCTCTGCTGTCAAATCCCCTCTTTCCCCTAGTGACAGCAGAGGAAGGAGTTGAGGGACGGAGGGAATTTGAGATGCTGCAGTAAGAGGGCTGTTAGAAGTCAAAACCCACTGGAGCAAGCTTGAAGTAGGAAGGTTCCTGTTGTCCTGAAGAACTCTCTCATACTGAGCTTGGAAACTCTGCAAGTCAGGAACTTCGCTAGCTGCTAAAACAAAGATGCATAGAAGTGCCATGCTGGCCTAGCTCCTCTCAAGTGGAGCTCCGAGGGTGCCTATTGGGCAAGCATTTCTTCTCCAACGCCTCTCACTGCTGTTTACATTTTTTTTTAATCTTTCTTGGCCACTGCCTGGTCCCTTCTTGACAGCTCCACCAAATCCCACGCTCTTGGACAGCCATTTATGCAGCAGTTTTACAAAAGGGAGAGTTGAGCTATGAGTAATTAAAAAAAAAAAAAAAAAATAAAGCAAAGCTATTTTGGAGTTACAATTATTAATCCCTTAAAAACTGCAAGCTTAAAGCATCTTAACAGCTTTTGATGAGCGACCTCTGTCTATGCATTTCATACATTTTCAAGGCTTTAACTCAATTGCAGAAATTCATTTAACATGGAAACTGTGTGTGTACACACAAATACATGCCAACTTTCCAGAATAAGTAGACTTTTATAGCCTAATTAAAATATGGGACATTACAATAAATGCTATGACTTATGATATCTATACAATGATCACACCTCCAAGTCTGATGCACCAAAACTGGATTAGGGGAAAGAATGCAAAACAGTATGTCAGGTAGAGCCAGACTAAACACTGCAGAGGTTCAATTTGAGTCTACTCTGTGTACTTTACTATTAAACTTTCAAAATTACACAGCAGGTTCCATGTCAAAAGACTTTACAGGCATTACTGAATCTAGCCTAAGAACTCCCTTGTGGAATGTGTAATTTATTCTCAAGTTAAAAATAAAAAAAACACTATGTGACCCAGGCAAGGTATAACCTCTGTCTATGGCAGAACTATGAATGAAACCCAGATCTTGGGAGTCAGTCTGCTGCCTTAACTACAAGGCTATTCTCATCAGGTTTTAAGGCTTAAAGTATTTTCATTACAAATTGTTACCTTTGAGTATTAACATAACATTTGTCAACAAAAAAAAAATTGTAAGGAGCAAAGGAAATCTATGGGGATAGCAATGACTTATGTAATGGGTATTGTGAATACAATCCTAGACTCTAAAGAAAAAATGGAGTCTTCCTTCACAAATATGTGATCCATATGTGATCCACACGTAACCCACAGTTAATTAGTGTGGCTGTCTGGACCAGGAATGTCTTTACCCATGATTCACTTGTATCACCAAAATTACATGACAAGATGAACAGAGTTCTTGTAAATTACAATATTTTGCTGGCAGAAAAAACAGAGCAAACAGCACACAACATTTTGGGGGCAGGGACTATCTTTGGCTTGTGTTTTTACAGAACCTAGAACAATGGGGTTCTGCTTCATGAGTGGGAATCCTAGGCATTATGATGATAATGCATGTTGCGCTATGAACAAAAATCCTCACCTTCTTGGGTTTCGAAGTAGAAGGGTGTGCGGCTGGAGTTTTATATATATGGTAGTGTCTTATAAAGTGATAGCAGTGCTTGCCAACAAAACAAAACAAAACCACCCGAAATGAGGGGCGGTAGCTTTGTCGGCAGGAGAGTGTCTCCCACCAACAAAGCACTGTCCACACCGGCACTTTTTGTCTGTAAAACTTTTATCGGTCAGGCATGCGTTTTTTTCCCCACACCCCTGAGCAATAAAAGTTTTACCATGAAAGTGCTGCGTAGACATAGCCTTAGAGGGATGTTAAACTTTTTTGTGGTGAGGTGCACAATTTTTTTTAAATCTTGTAACCTTGGAAGCATTTCTTCTAGTTTTCAAAGCAGCTTTCTCCATTATAAACAATACACCAGGTTTACTAATAGTTCTCTTCTTGCTCACTTCTAGAATATCCTGATCTCAATATTTTTATTTCCAACATTTACCACTGTGAACCCAGTTTAACAAGACTTCTTCAAACTTGGGGACACTACATTATTTTTTTTTTTTTAAAAGAAAAGATCTGAAAATATAAAATACCAAAAGTAGTTACCTGCCCATGCAGTATTATAGTCTCATCTATCTTTATATTTCAGTTCTTCCTCTAACATTCAAGCAAAGTAAACAGCCTGAACACATCAAGGATGCACCAAGTTCAACTTCAATATGCAAACAGAAAAAAGATGCATAGTAGTCTCCTTTTTATAAATGGACTGATCCAAGCGATTCAAGTGGAAAGTGAATAAAGCGTTAATCCAAATGCGAATGGCTCCATTTCAGTAATAGCGTGAATAAACCCCCACAGAAGGCTTCATTGCTAGCAGCAAACTCCACAGAGTCCAGATGAACCAGCAGGAAGAACACAGGGCAGATAATCCTGTAAAATTACCCCAGTGGAAATGTTGATAAATTCCCAATTACGAGACCTGCTCTAGGATGAAAAAAAATGCAAGATACAATAAAATTACCAGTCAACACTTGCAAACCTTCACACTTAAAACCAGACAATTATCACAGGTATTCCTTAATCCTTTGAATTTTGAACCTGTTACCCATAACAGTGAAATCCAGATAAATAAAATAACCCCCTGAAACTAAACAAAGGACAACTGAAGAGCCATAACTAGTTATAAATCATCTGTTTCTCTAGAGAGTCACATTCAAGCAATACTAATAGTTTAGATCAAAAGAAAACTTAAGCCATTTTTCTGTTTTTTTCCCCTATATGAAGTGTGGATGGGACAATGAAGCCAGTTTCATAAGGAAGTGTTTTTTTTTTTAATTTGTAGAGACATTATTGGTCAGGTTATGTAAAAGCTTGTTTCTAAAATCTAAATTTGGGGCAAAATATGAGGAGTTGCCCTGTAAAAGTTGTGCTAACCTCGCCAGTTGGACACATAGCAACTTAAAATTCTTCACATTTAAGAGCATGTAGAGCAGACAAAATAGGTCTTGCATCTAGTTCACAACTGCTTACTCCCTGCATGTTTGTCCCAGAGTCTGACAAATGTAATAGCAATCCCTCCCCCCAAACCACCAATTACAGAAGTAATTGCTTGCTCAAGAGCTTAGTAACCCAATCAGTTGGATATTATTATAATTTCCATTATTAAAGATATGCACACATCTCTTTATGTAAACATATTGCATAAACTTGTCTTTGGAGTAACCCTGAGAGATAAGTATCCAAATTCCTCTCTGTTTACCCCCTACATGTGTGTGTGTCCCACAGTCTCCTTGGCCCAGCCACTTACCTGCATGTCACCACAAGTCCTGCCCTCCCCACTCATTGCATTGGACAGCAAGGTTGTCAATCATCCTCTAACACACTTTCCTTTCTATTTCAGACAGATCTAAACAGTTGCTGCTGTGGCCTCCCTGCCAACTAGGCCTCAGTTTTAGACCATCAGCAGCAAATGCAAGTGTAAGCTTCTCTCATAGCAGAAAACAGATTCTGTTTACAAGCCAGTTTTGTTTGTTCATAAAACAAGACTTACAAAAAGAATACATCAGCTTAACTGAATTAAAGTCTCTCAATGCAGAGGGGGAGACTGATGGAAAATTGTGGTCTGACTGTAGATGGACAATTATCAGACTGATGTCATTTCCCTCTGTATGTTTAATTATTTTAAACTCAATTACACAGGAAAAACGCTTAAACTTCCAGATGCCATTATACTAATTTCGAGTCCATTGTCACTGCCTCTTAATTGCTTTCTCAATGCATATAAGCCTTTGAAAAGAGAATAATAAGCCTACTGCCTCTGAAAGAAGCCCCCCTCTTTCCTCTCACTGCAAATCCACCCTAAAGTAGTATAATTGCTTTCTAAATGCAAATAAATATGGAGTACAATAAGCTACGGAGGTAAGGCGGCCCCTTTCCTCTCCTCTCCCTTATTATGTGGATAAATCTTCAATCTAATTCCTCTTGAAAAAGCCCCATTTCCTACCAGAGTTTCTCAAAGCAACAACCCACTCAAGCCCCGTTCCTTGAGAGCCTCCCCCCAGCTTCAAGCAATACTCTAATGCTTCTCCACCCTTCCTTCCCCTCTAGAATGACATCCCCTCTCCTCACTCAGCCCTGTGAGAGGAATACCCCTGCCCAGCCAAAACTCCCCACCACTTAAGAGTATCCATACAGCCCCCTGCTCCTCAGAGCAAAAAACATGCCCCATTTTTTCCAGCTAGCACCCACAAAGCGTTAATACTTCCTCTGAGGGAGTAACACCCCCAACTCAGATCACTACTACTTCCCAGGCCCCCGAGCAATACTACCATCCACCCTCCCCCAGAGCAATAGTTCCCCCTTCCCCTCCCCCCCCAGAGCAATATTACCCCCCACAACTTCCCTAACAATACCCCCCAACCCAAGCGCACCTCCAAACCAATGAGCCAGTCTCTGCCCGCACCTCCCAGGCCAATACTACACCCACCCGGGGGACTCCCATCCCTTTTACCCCCAACCCAGGGGCGCCCGTCTCCCCACCTCCATTCTCCCAGAGCGATAATACCCGCCCCTTGCCCCCTCAAAGCAGCAGTACTCGCTCCCTTCCCTCCCCCACCAGCGCAATAATACCCTCTCCGGAGTAATAATACTCGCTCCCCCGCAATACTCTGCCCGACTCCCAGAACAAGAGCCCCCCCTCGAGGTGAGGCCCGGGGGTACCCACAGAGGCGGGAGTCGCTACCCCCGCTCCTCCCCGTACCTGTGGCTGCAGCATCCCCGTCTCCCCGCCGCCCTCTCTCCGCTGCCTGCCTGGCTCTTTGTTTCCTGCCGCGGGCCGGACGGGAGAGCAGCTTCCCCCCCGCCTCCTCCCCCTTCCCCTCACACGCATTGAAAGCAAACAAGCATCATGGCGGCAGCGGGCAGGCCGCCGCCTCCCCCCAGCATCTCCGCCCGCTGAGGCCGCCCACACTCACCGCGCACCACGCGCCATTGGCTGCGCGAAAGAAGCCTCGCGCCGAGTCGCGCGGCGTTGCTGGGCCTGCCCGAGCGCCGCGTCCCGCCTCCAGCCCCGCGGCCGCCGCGAATGGTGGGAGACCGCTGAGGGCCTGCGCCGCGCTCGGAGCTTCCCCCGGAGCGAAACGGGCCGGACCGCAGCTGATTCCGAGGGAGGGAAGTGGGGGGCGCGGCGGGGCCTGTGGGGTCTGAAGGAGAGGGCTGATGGGAGGGTCTGGAGGGGGATTAGAGGTGGGGGCCGGGGGGCCTGTGGGGTCTGAAGGGGAGGGCTGCTGGGAGGGTCTGGAGGGGGATTAGAGGTGGGGGCTGTGGGGCTCGTGGGAGGGGCTGCAAGGTTTGGGGGCATTATGGGGGGGAGAGGGTCTGGAGGCAGGGATCTGTGCATTGGGGAGGGCATCTGGAGGTGTCAGGTGGGGGCTGAAAGGAGGTGCTGGTCGGTGGGAGTGGGGGTCTGAATGTGGGGGATTGCAGACAATTGGGTGTGAAGGGATAAGGGGGGTGACTAGGTTGGGGAGAGGATCTAGATGTTTGAGGTGGGGTTTGGAGGTGTCTGCCAGAGGGACTGGATCAGCATCTGTAGGGGGAGGTTGATAGGAGAAGGGAATGGGGTCTGGTAGTGTGGATTGGATGGGGGTCTGTTTGGGGAGCAGTTTAGGGGGTTACATGGGGATTACATGTTGACAGGGCAGTTGAGCAGATTGGGTAGGGGGCACAAATAGTTGCAGAACAGCAAACTGGTAGGGTGGTGGCAGAAGAGATGGGTGGGGTGAATGGAATAGATTGGTGAGGGATGACTGCACCTATTGAGGCTCAGGGGGGTGAGCAGGCCCCCACATCTATAGCCTCTCCTCCCATCCCCAGCCTACGGGGAGGAGCACTGAATCCAGGCATCAAAAGATTATGAGGGACAACAAATGAAAAAACGGATGGGAGTGAGGGTCACAGGTTGAAAAGTAGGGATCCAGAGGGGGACACCTAGCAGAGAACCCCAGACAGTGCCCCACTGCTCCTCAAAGGCAGTGGGACAGAGGGCATTGGTGGGTGTATAACAGGGGTCGGCAACGTTCGGCACGCGGCTCGCCAGGGTAAGCACCCTAGCGGGCCGGGCCAGTTTATTTACCTGCTGACGCGGCAGGTTCGGCCGATCACGGCTCCCACTCGCCACGGTTCACCGTCCCGGGCCAATGGGGGCAGTGGGAAGCGGCACGGGCGAGGGATGTGCTGGCCACGGCTTCCTGACGCCCCCATTGGCCTGGGACGGCGAACCGCAGCCAGTGGGGGCCGCGATCGGCCAAACCTGCTGCGTCAGCAGGTAAATAAACTGGCCCGGCCCGCTAGGGTGCTTACCCTGGCGAGACGCGTGCCGAACGTTGCCGACCCCTGGTGTATAAGGTTGGAGGAGAACTTTGACATAGTGTGAGTTTGGAGGAGTACTTTGGGGTACATGCAGGAAGATGGAGGATCATTGGGGAGCTGGAAGAGCAGATGGAGTGAGGGTGTGAATGGGGTAGAAGGTTGGAGGGTACCGTGCATGAGAGAGGTGATAATTGATAGAAGGGAGAGAAGAGCAGATACAAAAATATTAATAGGCTTTAGCATTCTGATCTACATTTCAATAGAAAGCTGATACAATAAGGGAAATGGTATTTGGCTGTTTAAAAAAAAAAAGTTCATGATATGGGGGCTAGAAAGACTATTAACGTAAATAGCATGAGGAACAAAATATTTTAACAAAAAGTAATGACATCCCTTAAAAGAAGTTTGTTCTTATAAACAAGCATGAGAAGTATGAACAAGAAATCAAACATAAGGAAAACCATCTTTTTGCTCTATGCATATACATTTGCTAGATCCTTTACTGGTGGCCTCTAGGCCAGCTAAAACAATAGTAAATTATCTGCAACTAAAAGTATAACGGTAGCAATTTATCTGAAAATTTTGGTGTAGGAAGCAATAGGAGGAACTGTTTAGCAGAGAAATATGTATTCAGATATGGGGAAGAATAGTGTACCATATGTTGTTTGTATTAGTGTAGTGCCTAGGAGCCTAGTCATGGAGTAGGACCCCATTGTACTAAGTGGTGTATAAACACAGAACAAAAAGGCTGTCTCTGTCCCAAAGAGCTTACAGGCTAAGCCCATGTCTACACTTATAAGCTTACAGTGGCACAGCTGTACCGATAGAGCTGTGCCGCTGTGAGAGCACTAATGTAGCCACGTTATGCTGATGGGAGAGAGCTCTCTATCGACATAATAAGACTGCTCTACGAGCAGTGATAGCTGTGTCGGTGGGAGAGTATCTCACGCCAACATAGCACTGTACACACAAGCACTTATGCCGGCAAAACGTATGTTGCTCGGGTGTGTTTTTCACACCCTTGAGCGACATAAGTGCTAGTGTAGACATGGCCTACATATAACAACAAGAGACAACAGATGGATACAGACTGACAGACAGTAGTACACGGAAACAGCACACCAGCAGCCTGGTGGTTGTCAAGTTTCTTGTAGACATGGAAAATAAAGTTTTAAGTAAGGCTTTGAAGCAGGATAATCCTTTTGCTAATGTTTAGGGGGAGCTCCTCTCAAGACTGAGGGCAGCATGATAGAAAGCATGAAGGTGCCTGTGTGAAAATTTAACACATGTGTGATTAAGGCTAGCATCATTGGCGATTGAAGGTGGAAGTTGACATCTCAATAGTGAATAACATGATAAGATAGGGATAGGCCATGAAGGGCCTTGAAAATGAAGATAAATAGCTTATGATTGATGCAATAGAAAAGTGGGTCCAGTGGAGCGATCCAAAAGGGGTTATGTCAAAGTAATGGGCTAGGAAAATGATCTTTCTATCATTATTGAATTGATATGAGTAGAACAAGGTTGCAATAGTCAAGTCCAGAGAGAAGAATGTTTCAGTGATTAAAACACCAGATGAGGAGAGCCTGGACAGGAGTAGGGTGACCAGATAGCAAGTGTGAAAAATCGGGACGGTGGTTGGGGGCAATAGGAGCCCATATTAAAAAAAGCCCCAACTATCGGGACCGTCTCTATAAAATCGGGACATCTGGTCACCCTAGACAGGAGTTTTAGTTAGATGGACAGGAAAGGCTGTATCTTAGGGCTGGTCCACACTTACCCCCCAAATCGAAGTAAGGTACGCAAATTCAGCTACGTGAATAACGTAGCTGAATTCGACATACCTTACTTCGACCTTACTGCGGTTCAGACGCGGTCCACACGCGGCAGGCAGGCTCCCCGTCGACTTCGCGGTACTCCTCTCGCTGAGCTGGAGTACCGCAGTCGACGGGGATCACTTCCTGGTTCGATTTATCGCGTCCAGACCAGACGCGATAAATCGAACTCGGAACTTTGATCCGCAGCCGTCGAACTACCGGGTAAGTGTAGACTAGCCCTTAGAGATGCTATGCAGAAAAAATCTGCAAGAATTAGATATAGCTTGGGTATGAGGACCTAGAGGTTACGGGTCTGAGTGACAGGCAGGATGTCTAGATATAAGTAGAGGCATGTAACAAAAAATAAAGCAAACTGTAGTTCCGTGGATGTGGAACAAGACTGTTCTCATGTAATATAACGTGTAAAAAGAACTAGAAAGGGACCATTCCCCAGCTTGCTTCTGAGCAATGCACATGATATGCTTTGAAAACAATGACCATAATCTTATTACATACATAATCTTGGTGACAGACTTCGCAATCATCACATTAGTAATAGATCCAAATAAATGATTTCCTTCTTTGGCTCTCTATTTCGGACCTAGTCACAGTATATATTTAGGATTCCGCATAGGAAAGCTGCTTTATTGCTCAAGCTCATGTAACATCACTTCTCAAAATGTTTTCTGATAACCAGCTGCCCCTTCAGACATTAATAGTCATACATACTCAAGTTGTTAATACTTTCTAGGGAAAATGTAGCCTTAATAGAATGTATCTGTCTGTCTGGAGCTCAGTCTCCCAAAGTAGTAGTAAATCTTCAAATACATAACAGGTTTTTCCAAGAATTGTTACTTATCTAGGAGGAGTTAGGCTAGAGAGCTATGGATAGCTGTGGGGGACTGCATACCTGAGGACTGATACTAGGATAGAATGTGTAGAGTTTTTCATCTTTAGGTTGTGTGTTTGAAATCCTGCACAAATTAAGTAGTGACCAAAAGTCCATTGTCATCTAATGTCTGCCTTGTTTTTTCCAATTCCATTTCTCAGTGAAAAATGTCCACATTGCCAAAACCTATGTCACTTGGCGTTCTGAGGTCAAAGACTATGAATGGGCAATGGAACCTGGACCCTCCTTTCACCTCTGGAGTTGCCACCTCCAGATTAGGCATGTAGTTGGGGCAAAGGGGGAAGCTGGTACTTCCATCATCCTTGTACCTGTTTGTAGATTATACAGTCTCCTGAGTTACAGACACTATTTTCTCACACATTTAAAAATAGATAGGGAAAGAATCCATTGACTGTTGCCCTGATCATTTCAAATAGAGACCAATTGGCAAAAATAAATGAATTTTAGATGATTGCGGCCTTTGACCATCAGAAGAAGTAATTACAAAATGCTTGCACAATTCACTGTGCTGTACTACTGCTGAATGCTAGAAAGGTTCAAGATGCAGCAAATTAGCATATTCCAAACTTTGATCTAATTCACATTGATTCTCTGGTGATATTTTTAATAGGCTGTAAAGCAAACAAACAAAAACATTTGTTCAGAGATTCTAAAGTGGTTTACACCATTGACCTCAATGCAATTTTTTAACAGTCAATTTGATTATGTGGTTGAAATTGCAGAGTAGAGCAAAGACAGCTATATACTT